AATCACTTAATAATCACACTTTTAAGCACTGCAGGCCAAATGAATTATGTAATAGTAATTATGTGGGTGTGTTGAATGGATATCAGAGGTTTCTTTGATGTGTGTGACACAAACAATAATAATTCATCACACAAAAAATCAGTTTAGCTTTTAAAGAATCTTTTAAATTCTGAGAATGATAGATTTAATAAAAAAAAAAAGCAACAACAGCAGTGGCACTATGTAAACAACTTTATTTTAAAGGGTTAAAAACTTTAAAACGAATACATTTTTGGTTGTCAACCTTTAAATGAATGTAGATGTATAAATAAATTATTAAATATTATACTTGTGTAATGCAACTTTTCCTCTATGGGCATTACTTTTAATTGATCCACAAGGATTAATCATCTATAGTAGCAGGTAACATTTTAAATATCACTTTTGATCGCTTTCTTCCTTGTTGTTATGAAACTCTTTTTGTATTGTTGACGTAACACTAGAACAGGCTTCTGTCTGTGCCGTCTTGAACTCAGTGCTTGCTTTCATTACTCTGGCTTTTATTCTCATGCACTGACTCGTTCACTAAACTGGTTCACGTTCTCTCTCACCGATGGCTCCAGTGCTGATTCAGCTTGCAAACTGCAGCCAACGTGAGCCAGACTAGTGCCAATGTGTTAAAAAAACTAGCCTGACAGATGCTCACTAATAGCCTGAAATTGGCTCACAGCCTACTGTCAGTGTCACTGTCCTTATAACACCATTTTTTGTGTGGAATTATAATTTTTTTTTTTACATTTTCAAATCAGAATTACTGTAGTGTTTGAATAAAGTATCAAAACAAATTTGTAATCTATAAATATAAACGGCTTGAACATTTTTGTGGCCTTATAAAGATTAATATGCACAGTGAGGGCCTTGGAGTCAAAACATGTTGAAATACTACAGGTAAAAGTGGAAACACTGAAGTAAAAACACTGCTTTTTTGTGCACCTGTCAATATTGAAACTTTTTGGCTTTTTGTGCTGGTTTCAGGTTTTCATTTCTAAATCTAAAAATCTAATTCCCAAAATCATAAAGAGCTTTGTTGCCAGATACAGCATGTTTATTAAACACTGATAATAAAGGAATCTATAATAATAATCAAATAAAATAAGGACTGAATAGCGAATAAAAATATATAATTTGACAAAAATTAGTACAGTGTAGATTACTATATACAATATTTTATGTATACCTATATTATTTGTTAAATGTGTGCTGTTAAATAAGTGTGTGTGTGTGTGTGTGTATGGATAAAAAGGTTTCTTTTTCTTTCTCACTACCTGCAGTGTCTTGCTCTAAATTGCATCATGTTTCCTTTTGCAGAAGCGCAGATTAAGTTGGTCCGACTCCGACTCGCAAGGATCTTCAAGCAGCAAACGTTTCCTAGAGGACGATCGAGGGTCGAGTCCCAGCGACACCAGCTCATGGCTCAGCAGCTCTGAGCACACATCAAGCGAACTCGACGACGACAGTGCGATCTGCACACACACAAAAAACAAAAAGACATCAGAATCCAAACTTGTCGAAAACGCCCACCTGCTCATTACGGAAAAGACAATCTCCGTAAAGGAAACCCTTGGGACTGCAATAGGAAGACCACCTCCGCTTGTAATACCGCCGGCGGCCACAGGGGGCAGCGTTTTAGGCACACAGGACTGTTCAGTGTCATCCACAACTCCCACTTCTGACTTAACGGACAGTGGGAATGAATCCGTAAAAGCAGAAGGACCAAAAAAACAGGTTATTCGTAAATCGCATCGCACAGAAACGTTACGCACATAACAGTTTGCCGTCAATTTTTTGTTTGTATTTTTCCTCCAGCCTATCGATATTGGGAACTCAATTTTTTTTTTTCAGAAGGCTTTTATTCAGTTAGTCTGACTTTACATTCTGCCGCATTTATGTACAACATACATGCTTTCATATAAACAATACAGCATAACAATTTGTCTTATATCTTTACGAAAGTTTTCAAAGGTCAGAAAAGTGTCTTAAAACGCGCAACATAGGGACAGCTATGAAACACTGCTGCACTGCCTTTCAGAATGACACAGGCTTCCAACGATATCTGCCACTTTACAAACACGGGGCGTCAGATATCGACGGTTTAATAAAACATCCAGAAAACACGACTGCGATCGCAATCTACCTTAATGTCCTTCGACTTGAACTGAGAACCACTTTTTAACATCGGATGAAACAGAAGTACATTCTATCGGGCGGATATTTTTTATTTATTGCGTCATTACTTGAAGATACTGAAATCACTTAAGCAGCCTTAAAACGAACGACCTTTCGAAGAGGCCATATAAGGTGGGCCATGGGTTATGATAGCTCAGTGTTGTATATTTATTACGAGGCGAAGAGGATAGTCCCAGGAGCATTGTAAAGTATTCTATAATTACAAGAGCAAATTATCAGTTTATGGAAATAAACGTTTGCCAAAAACATTTGCACATTATTTTCTTACGCTTCCATGTTGTTATTATTATAGCTCATTTTGTCACTGAAATCTAATAGATTGCACAGCTAGCTTGTACTCACCCGAAAAACTTTTTTTTTGATTCGGAATTTGATGATTATGTCAAAATAAAAGTGAATTATTAGTATACAGAGTGTCTCACACTGTAAAGATCACACTGAGGAAGACTAGACTTATTAGTAGAATTTATTCTGACATTAGAGATGCAGTATTTGGTAGTAGCTTCATGAGGATTGAGGAATAACCGTGTTGGTATGTTGACTGAGAAAAGCATGTTGTCACTGTCATGTTAAAATACACATCTAAGTATATTGGAGGAATCATAATGGAGATTGTGCTATAAGGGAAAAGCCTGTATGAAGATATGTATTGTGATTTAACATTTAATGACACCAAATGGCTTCATCGGTTGTGGAGGTAGCATTTTGAAGATTTATTATTATTAATATTACTCTTATTTGTTTCAGAAAAGTCGGCCATTGTAGCACAATTCTTATTCTGTATTCATATTTTCAAGCCCATTTTCTCTTGTACGTCATTTCTTATTTTATAAACGTTTTTTTGTCCAGGTTGCTGAAATGTTTTTCAACATGCTCCACTTTTTGATATCATTAAATGTTGAGAAAATTTCTTATATTTCATTTGTCCTTGGTTTTTTCTATTTCTCTTTCTTTTTTAGGCTTCAACATTGATGTAATAAACAAAAAAATAATAAATATATAAATGGTAAATATATAAATAAATATGTAGTAGTTAATAGGGTTTTTGCAACTTAAAATAATAATTGTTTTCTTATTCAATGTATTTTAAGATAATATTTCATTGTGTAAACTTTAGGAGGCATTCCTCCACTTTTCAGTATCACACAATTCTTTGTATATATACATCATACACGCCTTCACTATTACATCATTACTAAATTAAGTCCTTGTTGAAATAAAGCATTACCTGTACTTCTAACCTCATTTGCAATTCAAAGCTATTTTAGGTATATATAGGTAGCTGTTAAAACATATGCCTTCAGTTTTAAACATGCATTTATTTGTGTAGTTGAATTTCATCATATTTTTATCCATTAACTTAAATATATTCATGAAATATGTAAAATGTTTGCTTTATTAGCTATTAATATGAGAGTTGGTTAGCAAGTGTGCTTGCTGGTTTCCCCTGTCCGTGACTGACCCCTATTGGTTGCCTGCAGGTTTCATGTTTTAAACAATATAAATATACACTCACCGGCCACTTTGTTAGGTACACCTTACTAGTAGCCGCTTTTGCCTTCAGAACTGCCTTAATCTTATAGGGCATAGATTCAACAAGGTACTGGAAATATTCCTCAGAGATTTTGGTCCATATTGATATGATAGCATCACGAAGTTGCTGCAGATTTGTCAGCTGCACATCCATGATGTGAATCTCCTGTTCTACCACATCCCAAAGGTGCTCTATTGAAATAAGAAACCTTGGATGATATGCGCTTTACTCAGGTAGGCTGTGGCGTTGACACAATGCTCAATTGATACTAATAGGCCCAAAGTGTGCCAAGAAAATATCCCCCTCATCATTACAACACCACCACCAGCCTGAACCAATTATAAAAGGCGGGATGGATCAATTCTTACATGATGTTGATGCAAAATTCTGACCCTGCCATCTGAGTGTTGCAGCAGAAATTGAGACTCATCAGACCAGGCAACATTTTTCCAATCTTCTATTGTCCAATTTTGGTGAGCCTGTGTGAATTGTAGCCTCAGTTTCCTGTTCTTACAGGAGTGGCACCCGGTGTGGTCTTCTGCTGCTGTAGCCCATCCGCCTCAAGGTTGGATGTGTTGTGCGTTCAGAGATGCTCTTCTGCATATCTCGGTTGTAACGAGTGGTTATTTGAGTTACTGTTGCATTTCTCTCAGCTGGAACCAGTCTGACCATTCTCCTCTGACCTCAACAAGGCATTTGCTCCCACAGAACTGAGATGTTTTCTCTTTTTCAGACCATTCTCTGTAAACCCTAGAGATAGTCAAGCGTAAAAATCCCAGTAGATCAGCAGTTTCTGAAATACTCAGACCAGTCCAATTGGCACCAACAACCATGACACGTTCAAAATCACTTAAATCCCCTTTCTTCACCATTACTGATGATCGGTTTAAACTGCAGCAGATGGTCTTGACCATGTTGTCCACATGCCTAAAATGCATTGGGTTGCTGCCATGTGATTGGCTGATTAGAAATGTGCGTTAGTAAAACCTGATAAAGTGGCCAGTGAGTGTTTATTTTTTTCATATTTACTCAAATTAGACAAAAATTATGTTTAATATTAAGTTTTAACATTTTTATTGTTTTTGTGATTTCAGACCACAGACAGTAAACAAGCATATATGTAGGGAAAATACACTGGTATTCATGTGCGTAGTGTTGTTAATGTAAAACGGTCTAATGGAGCCTGGAAATTCAGTCATGTTGCAGTTTCCTCACATGAACCTGTAAGCGGCAGCACCGCGTCCACAAGACCTGGAAAATGGCGGCTGGCAGTGCAGGCGTTAGCGGCCACAACAGTGGCTCATCGCCGCGTTTGGAGTCCACTTTGGACCGTCGTTTTCAAACTGTATCCAACACCATGGAATCCATTCAGGGACTATCAACCTGGTGCATCGAGAACAAGAAATTTCACAGCGTGATCGTGAAATACTGGATCAAGTGGCTGCGCAAATGTGAGTATTTAGCATGTTAGCCGGCTAATTTGAGCGCAGCATGGATAAAAAAGTCTTGTTTACCTGTTCAAATCTGCGTCAACTGGGCTTCAGAATAGGACTTGTGTGGTATTTGTGCAAAAAAGTACCCCATGAGTTACTGTGAAAGTCTAGTTTGTGTTCTTTAGTGCTCTAGGCAACTGTTGTTGATTGTTAGCAAACTGCTAATCTGTCCCCATCAGGTCAGGACATATAGGTCGTGTTTAAAAACCTGGAAAACTTGCTTTTTAGTTACATTAGCGTTCAGGGGTAGTAGGTCTTTTAGAAATTGTCAATATGACTTGGCTTTGGCATTTTGGGGAAGAGTATCAGGAGTTCAGTTTTTTTTAGGAGGGGGGGGGGGGGTATTTCTTGGCAAACTGGTGTTCAGGGTAAGCAGGAGGTTTTGGTAAAGTAACTTTTGGGTTTTCTAAGTTTTGATGTATTTTAGAATTTGTAGGCATATTTTGGGTGTTTGATTGGGGTCAGCAGTTTTTTAGGGGGAAATTGGATTTTGTGTCAAATGTGCGGAGTTAGGACAGGTGTATTTTTAGGGAGCTTGGTTGCTATTTGACTGCAACCTTTTTGAGTTGTAAAGTGTTTTGGACAAATTGGCATAAACCACTTTATTATTATTATTATTATTATTATTATTATTATTATTATTTATTTTTTTTTACTAAATGTGAGAATTTCTGGTTCAGCTCGGTTGTATTTTAGGAGTCCTGAGCACATGTGATTTAAGTGCATAATTTTTGGGGTGCATTTTTGAGCAAATTGGGATGTTTAGGATTAATCACATTTTTGACCTAAACATTGGAATGTCTTAGTAAGGACAATGTATCTGGTGTCAATAATGGGGAGTTCTGGATCGGGTGAATGTTAGATTGGTGTAAAGTTGGTTTTATATTCACACTTTCAGACATTCTTTCTAATAATATAATTTCAGAAAAGTATTCTTTGAATGTTCTAAATATTGAAATTGTATTAGCAGCTGATGACTATTGAGGTACACCATTATTTACAGCCAATTAAATAGTGTCATACTTACCTGCGATTTCAGACCGAATATTTAAAGTTATATAATAAACAGTATAGTAAGCGTATCACAAGTTGTCACTGTCCTAAAATGAATAAATGTGTTAATATAGAACCAACTTTACCTCACTAGCTATGTTTCCATCCAAGTACGAGAAATAACTTTATGCGCAAAACTGGATTATCGCATGAAAGACGTGCGAATAAAGCACTGTTTCCATCCAATGAGTCAAAGAGAACAAAATCATCACTTCCTGATTAACTGGCACCAAAAATAAAAAGTAAAAATGTCATTTATTGAGGAAGGAGAAGCTGCATGAATCTTTTTCTTATTTAATAAATTATTTGCGCCTCAGAAGACAAATGCTGTGACATGCAGTGAACGTTTGGTGGAGTTTAAAGGCGCGAGACGCGAAGCACAGACGCTCTTGACAGTTCTAGAGGTTATCAATAAAATAATAACACTAATGGTTAAGGCATTTAGAGGCTGATCACACAGAACGCGTTTTTACGTTCAAAATGTAAGGTGCACCATGCTGCCTTTTTTGTTGACGAGAAAAAAAGAAGTCCGGTGTGCTTTTTATGTTGCTAGGCAACGACTGAGTCAGTTGGGTATTGTGTTTAAGTGTTGCTGTTGATATTGGTATAATTTTAATAATTCATAATATTGTGAAATTCAAGTTTTGTGAGTCGTACAGCACTGGATAACTCAAAACAGCAACCACAAGTCTCTCCTTTATCTTCAAAAGTCTCTGTATTTGCCTTGACAACCCAAACACTGCTGTCACCTCAACAGAAACCCCCGCCTCTGCTTTGATTTGATTGGAGAATGAAACAGATGCGACTAATGTAACACGCTTTTTCCACTTAAAGTTGAGCGCACACGCACATCGTGCAATGGCAAAAATGCGAGTCGCAGCAGGTGGTTAAAACGCAAGGCGTGCAAAATGCTCGTGGTCGTTTTTTTATTGCGCATACTGGAATCAATTTGGTAAAAGTGTTTCCATTGTAGTATATGCGCATCTTTTTCTATTGGATACAAAGTTTATCCTACTAAGTTATGCGCATACATTTTTTCTGCCTTTTTTCGTAGTTGTGCATTTATACTTCTGCGCGGTGTTTCTTTAGTGTTATTATATAATCACTGAGCTCCAGAACTGTCAAGAGCGGCACTGTGTGTGTGGGTTCACTCACTGCATATCAGAATTGCTTTCTAAGATGTAAGCCATTTATTAAATGAAGAAAAGATTCACGCAGCTTCTCCTACCACAGCAAATTCCGTCTTTACTGTTGATATTTGTCACCAGAAAATTCAGGAAGTGACGATTCTCTTTGATTTGACTCGTTGGATGTAAACGCTGCTTTATTCACACGTTTTATGCGCTAATCCTTTTTTTTTTTTTTTAACAAAGTTAATTCTGATTTTTTGGATGGAAACATCAGCAAAGTCAGCAAAGTTTTTGGTGTTAATAGCACTTTTTGGCAAATAAGAACATTTCTGGACTTAACATGGGCAGTTCTTAGTTAGTTGTGTTTTTGCGTTGGACACGATTCCAGTTGGCAATGTTTGTTGAGGGGGAGCAGCATTTTGTGGGGAAATACAAGGACTCTGAGTCCTGCGTCAGGTGTATTTTAGGTTAGGTGTCTTGGGCACATTTCAAGTCAGCATTGTTTTTACAGATTACAAGATGTTTGGTGTTGGTTGGTTGCATTTTTTTGCAGAATGGTGTGTTCTATGTCACCCATGTTTTGGGTGTAAGATTTGTTTCCAATTAGATGTGTTTTTAGGAAATGGAATGATTCTTGGGGTTTACAGTCTTATGGTTAATTGGGTATTTTGGGGTCAGCAGCATTTTTAGGCAGGATTGAGGTGTTATAGAGGTGTTTGGGGTAAGAAGAAGTGTTTGGTGTTGGCAACAATTTGAAACCGAATGTGGTTTTCCACTCAGCTACTCCTAGAATGTGATAGACCCTTTCAAAACACAGATATAGAGGGGTGTTTGGGGTTTGGTTGAATTTAGTTTTTTATTTATTTAACCAATGTGTTCACTGCTCATTGAAACATAAAATAATTAATTAAAAAAAAAAATTTCTTCAAGTGTTTTTAAGGCTGGGCTGTTTATCTGATAATTGGAAATTAGTCATTGCTGAGTTTTTTGTTGTTGTTGTTGATTTTAGCTTTATAACGATGCTGTCTGAAATGCTTTTCGTTTTATCCTGAGCATTTTTAGGATGACCTGTTGCTTGATATTTTGTATTGGTAGAGGCTTTCAGATGAGAACATTTTCTCAATAAAATCAATGATGGTAATGAGTTTTTGTTCATTAAATCCTTTTGAATGCAATAATGTAGGACAGTTGTGTGCATGGGGCAGAGTTTTTTGTTATTTTAGTGTTGTTTTAATTGTCATATGAGGATCATTTTCATTTCAGTGACTTCACATTTAAAAATATCACATTTGGGTCAATGAGTGTTTTGATTGTCTGATTTGGAGATGCATAAGAATGCCATACTTGAGAGAAGCACTAATTAAAAGTCTTTGTTTTGGCCAGTGAATTATACATTTGATGTTTGATAATCAATAAATAATTAGAACATGATTCATGCCACCTCAGAGTCTCTTCTGCTGATGAAAATACCTGGATGCGACTTATGTGTTCTGTGCCACCTCTTTAGTGAAAACTAACTTTATTTGATTAGTAGTCTACTAGTGTTTTAAATGTATTTGCTTTAAAATGTTAATTTATTCAAAATCTTACTAATATACACTTTTCAGTTGGACACAAGTTGAACTACTTTAAATAAATGTATAAATAAATCCATTACAAACTAAGTAACAAAACAAATCCCTCTCCAAGTAATATAGGCAGGCTTAACTTCCTAAATATTTTACATTGAGTAGAAATAAAAGTAAGCATAGACCTGCATTATATAGTGTTTTTTTTGCTGTTACCCTGGCTGGTTGAGAAATGTGAAAGTAAAACAGCCAATAGGTGGCAGCAAGTCCTTTTTTTAAATGAGGATTTTAATAAATCATTTTTAAACAATTCTTTCAAATTGGTTGATTCATTTCAAACAGAGCATGGATCACTGGATCATTGACTTATAGGTATCTTATTGGTATCTTAATTCAGAATGCTCTCTTAGAGCAACACTGCTGTGTTTAGTTACTGAATGAAGATTCTAAGACAGAACAATGCAAACATACAATACTGCATCTAAAATGTAAACTTAATATTAACTTCTATTTGTTTAACTGTTGGTTGAAATTAATACTATGCTTGAGGTGACATTTGTGTCTTTTGTTGTACAGATAAACTTTTCGAAATAGACAAAAATACGTTGTATAGGTCAAAATGACCAAATTCTGGTCTTCGGTTTTTGGTTTTCTTGAAGATAATTTGTAAATTTATTTCTGTAAAATGTATCAGAATTACCAATACCAATAGTGAGAAATAACAATATTATTGATGTATGGTGAGGTTAGTTAAAAATTAAACTTTTTTTTTATTAGTTATAACTATATTTAATAAAGCTATTATGACTTTTAATGCATGTTTATTGGGCATTAGATAAGATTTAGGGATGCTCAAAATAATCGATTAACCGAAAGGGTGCGTTTGTAACCGATTAATGATATCAGTTAAACAATAAAAAATATTATTTTACATATTTTTAGAGTTTGGCTGTATAAGGGGCCGATCAAATGTGCTGTTTTTGCGTTGAGAGGGGAATCTTTTGAAGGGTTTACTAACGGCTTCAAGTGATTTACCTACGGCTCATCCCAGAGCAGCAGCGTTTGTGTTGTCAAGACAACTACAGAGAACTTTTAAAGATGGAGGAGAGACTAGTGCTCGCTGTTTCAAGTTGTCCAGAGCTGTATTCACAAATCTTGAATATCAGAATATTATTAAATATTACATCGGTAACAACATAGACAGCAA